CTATATACTGCATCTTTTGTCTGTCTGAGGTGAACTTCTTATGCTCAAGACCAGATGTTTCTGAGAAAACCCCTGCTCTTTACAGTTTCCTGGGGGTGCCTTTGATTTTATTTATTATCATTCTGTGTTTTCTAAAAAGTTCTTAATATGGGAACTGGAGAGATGGCTCAGCGGTTAAGAGCACTGCCTGCTCTTCCAGAGGACCAGTGTTTGATCTCAGCACCCACATGTCGGCTCACATTTGAAACTGCAGCCCCGAGGGATCCAGTGCCCTCTTCGGGCCTCCTCGTGCACAGACATACTTGGCAGGCAAAACACCCATGCTTATAAAATAAAAATAAGGGAAATTCTTTCAAAAGCTTTTGTTACTTGCTTAAATAGAAATTATATTGGAGCACTGACTTGTTTGTGTCACAGAAGAGATGGTAGGTTCTTGATAGTCAAGCCTATTTTATCTGTAGATGCTTTGGCTTTTGATCTCCTAATACATTGGAATATTCCTAATACACTGGAATATGTTATGGTTCCAGTAGTTCCTCATTTCTAGAACTAGTTTTTTAAAAAATAATTTATTTATTTTTACTATATGTGCATTGGTGTTTTCCCTGCATGTATGTCTGTATGAAGGTGTTGGATCCCCTGAAATTGGAGTGACAGACAGTTGTGAGCTGCCTTGTGGGTCCTGGGAACTGAACCTGGGTCCTCTGGAAGAGCAACCAGTGCTCTTAACCACTGAGCCATCTCTCTCTCCAGCCCTAAAACTAGTTTTATTACATTTTACTTTCTTTGAAGATAGGATAGCGTAAGTGAGCTTGTTACAGCTTAATTGATAATGTTTAGTCAGGTATGATGGCTTACACCTTCAGTTCCAGCACTCTGGACACTGGGCAGGAGACCCTGTCTCAAAAAACAAAGAAAATAATCAACAGCTTTCTTTTCTCCTCTTCTTGTGTTACACAAAATAATGCAGTTTATAACCACTGACATTTTAGACTTAATAAAATGTGGGGCAATTAAAAGACCTGTCCTCAATTAGTTCATTGTAATCAGTGAATTTTGCAAATTTGCCTTTGTGCTCTTAGGAAGTTTGTTACTAAGAAGAGCTCATTAGGAATGGGGTTCTTCCTTATGTAAATGGAAATTAACAAACTGTTTGTTTTACAAACTTTAATGAATGATTAAATGGTGGTGTGCTTTTTGGAAATTATACATGATAATCTGTTGCTTTTTTATACTCAATAAATGGGTTTACAAATCCTTTATAGTCAACTTCTTAAATGATTGAAAATGATTAGAAATGAATTGCTTCCTGTTTTTCCCGTATATGATATTGTTAACGTATAATTGATTTTTCAGTACATCTTAATTATTCAGTCATAATTTATAATCAACCGTTATCTTTCTCTGAAACTGCGGAGTGCTCACCTTTATAGTCCTGTTTTAGTATCTACTGCGGGGAGGTGGGGGAACGATGTCAAGGAAAACAAAACCTGCTCTTTCCTGCACCCAGAAAGGCTACACACACTCACACTCACACACACGCACACACACACAAACCCCAGACACATCTAGTACAACAACACACATTGTATTCTGTATTGAAGAGATGGGCAGAGGCAGCTTAGCGTGGTCAGGTACTGAACACTCTAACTTTTATAAGTGACTCATACTGCTTTGAAAGTAAACTCAATAGTAGAAAGGAATTCCTTTTTCTTCTCTATCTTTCCTACTGGTAAGAGACTATTCCCAGAGCTTTAGGGCAAAAGTCCTCTAGGAGTCCCAGTGGGCTAGTCTCAGCGATTGGCCCAACATGCCAATCAAAGACAGCATTGGTGCAGGGTGGGAAAGCAGCTGTAACCAGTGTGATCACATTGAGGTGGAGCACACAGGTTCGGTAATCTCAGGTCTGTCTTGTATCGGCTGACAAGAACTTGAGATTTTGTAGGAAAGGGGAATGGGCTGAGACCGAAGGTTTGCAAAGCCTATAGAGCAGGTCATCTTGTCGGGCCAGTGACCCCATTCCCATCTTGGGGTAATTTGTTCCCATCTGGGGCTGATCTCATCATGGGGAGGTCTTTTTCTGCCAGATTAGCATTGATGGGGTTAGTTCCCCTTCCCTGTCCTAAAGATGGTTTTTCGTCTGTCATCTTATTCCTAGAATCCAAGGTAACCACAGAACAAAGGTTAGAGAGGACAGAAGTTAGAGAGGATGGAAGTTAGAGAGGACGGAAGTTAGAGAGGGCCAGAATGGACTCAGTTAGGCCTGATTGGGCTGTTCCTCAGTCCTACAGAAATCAGTGTCCCCGATGCTTAGGCATTGCTTTCTTCTTAAGAACCGCCCCCCTCTCAAGAAATAAAATTCCAGACCAGTGTCGTGGCACACACCTTTAATCCTAGCACTCAGGAGGCAGAGGCAGGATGATCTCTGGGTTTGAGGCCAGCCTGGGCTACAGAGTGAGTTCCAGGACAGCCAGGGCTACACAGAGAAACCTGTCTCAAAAAACCAAAATCCCTTCCTTTACTTCCTCTTTCCTTATTTTGAGACAAGGTCTCTCCGTAGCTCTGGGTAGCCTGAACTTGCTGTGTAGATCAAGTTGGTCTTAATCTTGTTGCCAGCCTCGGGCCTCTCTGTCTTGTAAGTACTAGAATTATAGATGGATGCCATAGTGCCCAGCAAGAAGTAATTCTTTGTTAGGAATAAACTGCAATGAAAGCCGTCTGTGTGTACATGTGCACCCCGTTGTGCGGGTGTGGAGGTCAGCCGGTAACTTCCAAGAGTCTTCTCTCCCTCCACCTCACGTGGGCTCCAGGAGTTGAACTCTGATTGTCCAGCTCATACACCAGGTGCTTTTACCTGCAGATTCATCTAGCCTCCTCCCTTCCCCCTTTTGAGGCAGGATCCCATGGAGTCCAGGTTGGCCTCATGTATTAGAGAATGACCTTAAACTTCTTATCTTCCTGCCTCTGTCTGCTGTGTGCTGTGATTATAAGTGTTTGCCACTGCAGTTACTTTACTTTTAATTGATTCTTTTTTAACCTTTATTTTTATTTGACGTGTATGGTGTTTTTGCCTACTTGTTTTCTGTGCACCGTATTAGAGCAGTGCCTAGGGAGGGAGAAGTTGGATCCTCTGGGGTTGGATTTACAGGTGATTGTGAGCTACCATGTGGGTGCTGGGAATCTAACCGGAAGAGCAGCCAGTGCTGGTGACCACTGAGCCATCTCCAGCCCTTACTGCTTCTTAGTAGTAGTATTTTAGAATTTATTTTATACATGTGGCTGTTTTGCCTATACTTATGTCTATGCACCACATGTGTGAGGAGGCCAGAAGAGGGTAATGATCCCCTGGAATTTGAGTTACAATTTTGAGCCACCATGTGGGTGCTGGGAATCGAACCTTTATTCTTATTTTTTAAGGTAGCATACTTGTATCTGACTATACAAATTGATACTAAGACCTAGCTTCATTGTCAGTGTTGCGAGAAATTGGAGATAACCTTTGTGTTTTCCACATTTCACCTGTTACACACACTGCTTTCCACTTTGTAAAATGCTCAGTTGTGTGCGTCTCATTTCCACTAATCACCTGTGACTGTTAGCACTCTACCATATAAATCTATGTTGTACAGCATTTTACCCTGAGCAAGTTAAACACTAAAAAACATCAGTACTAGGGAAATAGCTCAGTCTGTAAAGTGCTTGCCATTCAAGTGTTGGGACTGGGTTTGATCCCCAAAACTCATATTAAAAATGAAAGCTAGTATAGTAGCCCACGGCTATAACCCGGTACCGGGGAGGTGGAGACAGTTGGGGGTCACTGGCTAGCCAGCCTAGCCTAATTCTAGCTCCAGGCCAAGTGAGAGACCCTGTCTCATAAAACAAGGTGACTGGCTCCTGAGGAATAAAACCCACTGGAACATGCAAACACACACAGAGCATTAGCTGGGTGGATTTATATACTAGACGTACATGTGCCTCCATGTGCTGTTGAGACCGCTGGGTTCATATATATAGATATATATGAGCTGTATCACCCTGCACAGCGTGGCTCTGTGCTCTCCTCTCCTTGTCTCCTGTGCAGCTGTCAAGGTACCTCAGTCAGGCAGCCACCCCCGCCCTCATTCTGGAGTTGCCCTCGCTCATAGTCAGGGAAGAAGAAACACCTACATTTGATTTAGAAAGACAGACTGAGGGCTTGAGGGACTTTCCTGTGCGGAACTCTTTCACACATAGGCTTTGGCCTTTATTTGGCATGTTCGGAGACATTTTCGTTCTCTGTTTTGGCTGACTTTAGAGTTAGTTGTTGATGTCAGAAAGCTGATTATTGAGGAGTTAGGCTGATTGTCTCATTTAGATATAGCCAGAGTTCATTCAAAAGATTTGTCATTATATTAATATCAGTCATATGGAGTTGCAGGGAGCAGTCCCTGTTCTCAGCTGTTTTAGGGAAAGAAACATTTGAATTTGTGCTAGGATTATAACTGAGGAACTGATGACATTTCACTCAAACTCATTTACCAAGTTTCAGGTTGGTTCACCCAGAGATTCTGGAAAACAAGGTGGCAAAGTGATGATGAGAAAGGCTTTGACCTGAGCGGCCTTCTCAGCCGGACTCTCTTTAGGTGGTGACAGGCTCTGTCTAGTTCCGGAGACACCCTGAGTACAGCTGGAGAGACGACGTCAGTGATGCTGGCAGCTCTAGTCCCCAGATGCACCGAGTTGCAGCCTTCCCGGCTTCTGCTTTCCTGTCCAGGCAGTCGGAGCAGTGGCTGGGTGGTCCACCACTCCGCTGGGCCTGACTAGGAGCTGTGTAGACCTAGTGAACTGATTCCACCGCTGGACCCCACCCACGGAAGGCGAGTACTGACCCCAGGAAGATGTCCTCTCTGTTCTACACAGGCTCATGCAGGAGGGATGACTCTGTCACACGCTGATGGGAACATAATACAATAATAATAATAATAATAATAATAATAATAATAATAATAATAATACCTGTCTGCTCAAGTGGAGCTTCCTTGGTTTCTTCTCTGAAATTGATTTTCACCTATACCTTCTCTATAAAAATGGAGAAGGAAAGGTTCGTTGGTTCTTTCCTGACAGGATTTTTTTTCCCCAGCTCTACAGTAAATGTTGAGAATTTTTAAGATGCTTCCTTATCCTTAGAATCTTAAGATGCTTCCTATATACAACCTCACCTGGCAGGCAAGCAGGCAATCACCTGATATGGTGGTAGATAATGTTTGAATATGGGTGTGCTGTTCTTTATGAATCAGGTATGCTGTTGAAAAACTTGTGAGTGTGCCACTATATAAATCAGATATTTGTAAATGTATTACTAGTGGCTTGTTCTCCTAAGATACAAGCAGGTGTTTCATTGGACTAAATAGAACATTATTCAGGAAGCTAATCTATAGAGAAAACAGCCCATTTTTGAATATTCACATTAATGTACAGAGCAGCAATGTTAATGCATTTTCTTCATTATACTTAGTTTTGACATTACTGAAAATCTGTTTCTGCAGATCATAAGTGTACTGTACACTCATTGTGGGTCAGAGGCACCAAGTGATAGATTGTTGTACCTCCATCCATATAGATCCGGAGTGAATCCTGTTTTGAAGTCTATTTAATAAACATGAGCCTTTCCCCCTTTATTTGGAGGTTTTAGGGGTAAAGATTTACCTTCACAGTATGAGCTCTCACTCCCCCCCCCCCACACAGGGTTTCTCTGTGTACTTTGGAGCCTGTCCTAGAACTTGCTCTGTAGACCAGGCTGGTCTTGAACTCACAAAGATCCGCCTGCCTCTACCTCCCAAGTGCTGAGACTAAAGGCATGCATCACCACTGCCCAGCTAAACTAAGGGAATTTTAAGAATATCTCTTTTATCCGAAAAGTTTTGGTCATATTATTATTGAGCCGGTATGTGGCTCATGCCTTGCTATGTAGACTGGGCTGCTCTGAAACTCACTTTGTAGCCTATACTAGCATCAAACTTGGAGTCCGTGTGTCTCATCTTCTGAATGTTGAGATTACAGATGTGCTCCATTGTCCCTGGTTCCAAAAAGTCTTGTAATATTTATTTATTTCTATTTCATATGTATGGGTGTTTTGGCTGCATGTATATCTCTGTACCATATATGTGCCTGGTTCCCAGGGAGGCCAGAGTAGGATGTTGGATCTCTGGAACTGGAGTTATTGATGGTTGTTAGCTGCCTTGTGGGTGCTGGGAATCAAATTGGAGTCTTATGGAAGAACAGGTAGTTATCTTAACTGCTGCGCCATCTCTGCAGCCCCGTCCCCCAAAAAACTGTTTTAAGATAGCTGTTACTTGGATTATTCTGGGAGATCTAATTTGAACCTCATCTTTGATTTCATAGCAAAGATCCAACATAAGCCAGGTGCTGTGGTTTGGTTGTGGCTTAAATGTGTTGTCTAAAGAGTCACGTTTTGGAAGCTTGGTCTCCAGAGGAGTGATGTTAAGATGCGGGGCTCTTTGGCTTCCTGTGATCTCTTCCTCTTGCTTTCTTCTTACAGATTGTGATGCTACCTGTCATGAGGTGAGATGCTAGCAGCTTTTACCAGAGGTGTTTTATATATAGACTGTACATTTCATTATAGTAATAGAAAAAACACGGAGGTTAAGGTAAGAGGAGAATTTATTGGCTCCTGAAACCAAGAAGTTCTGTATATTAGCTTTAGTCATGATTGGATCTTGGGGTCTTGATATCTTCAGGGTATCTTCTTTGAACACTGCTTCCTCTTGCATTGGTCTTGGGTTAGTAAAAATGGCCACCCTCAATGATAGATTCAAATCTCCCTCATGGATTACATTCTCCTTCTCTACCCCTCCCCTCACAGTGACCTGGGTACAAACAGTATCTCCTTGATAGCATCAATTAAAAGTTCATAGAGCAGATTAACTAGCGTGGCTTGGGTCATATAACTCTCCTCTGAAACCATGTTGGTGATTAGTGCAGTGGGTATCAAGTTGGCCAGGCCACCCTACATCATCTGTCAGAGCTTGGCCAGTATGACCTTTACTACATGGGTCAAGAAGGGGTTGGAAGGGGCTAGGATGTGGCTCAATTGGTAGAGTGCTTACCTAGCAACCACAAAGCCCTGGCTTTGAATCCTGACACTGTATACTTAATCCCAGCTATCTGGGGTGGAGGCAGGAGTATCAAAAGTTCGAGGTCAGTCTTGGCTTAAGGAGATGGCTCAGCAGGTAAGAGTGCTTTCTCTGCAAGCATAGGAACCCAAGTTCAAGTCCCCAGAACCATGACCTGAGTTCAGACCACAAAAGCTCTCCTAAAAAGCCAGCTGTAGTCATGTGGTGAACATAGCATTGTGATGGAGACAGGCTCACTGGAGCTTGGTAAGAACCTAGCTCCATGTTCAGTGAGCTACCCTGTCACAAAAGGAATTGGACAGAGATCGATAGAGCTTCTTTGACCTCCAGAGAGCGCCCGCACAGGCACATTTGGCAGACACACACACACACACACACACACACACACACACACACACACACACTTACATACACAGAGGAAAAAAGGTAATTTTTGGTTGCATAGTAAGTTTGAAGCCAGCTATATTAGACTATCTCAAAACAAAACATAAAACAGAATGGGGTAGAGAGCAGTGTCCTCCAAAGACATAGTAGACAGACAGACAGACCAAAAGAGCCCTTTAGAGATAGTATTTGAATGCTGATTTGTGAGGAAATGTTAACGGGTTTCCTCCCATTGGGACATTCACCTCAGAACTTCATTCAGTTAGGTCTTACAGTTTGGGAGGGTGAGTAGGCTCAAGACGATCCTTGGAGTTTTCATTGTCAGAGGCAGCCAGTTGCCGAGGCTGAAGTCCTCTTGAAGTCAAGCCTACGTGTCCAGAAGGATTCAGTCAGCTGACCTTCAACTAGGCTTCCCCACAGTTGGTAGCTGGGTTCCAGGAGTAAGCCAAAAAGAAGAGGCAAGAGCTACCTTTCTTTGTTGTTTGTTTTCGAGACAGGGTTTCTCTGTATAACAGCTTTGGCTGTCCTGGAACTCACTCTGTAGCCCAGGCTGGCCTTGAACTCAAAGAGATCTGCCTGCCTCTGCCTCCTGAGTGCTGGGATTAAAGGCGTGCTAAGAGCCTTTTAATGGCCTACCTGCAAGTCACATAGTGTAACTTTTCCCATAGAGACTCAGCTGGCTTCGAGGGGTGGGAAGAGACCCTATTCTTGGGTAGGTGTTAAATGACACTGTAGGAAGCATGTGGGATAGAGATCTTAGCGTGCCCAGCCACTGTGACACAGAATCTGCTGCATGCATTGCCTTACTTCAGCGAACTAGTTTATGAAGAACATGAGATAGAAATTAAGCTACGAGTGCCATTCTTGGGTTGACCTTATTTTGTCTACATGATTTTGTTGTCTGGTTCCCTGGGAGAGGCTAATTCCCCCTCTCTTCAATAGTCATTAATTGCCTGTAGTTCTTTGTCTAGGGGTGGCACTCTGAGAATCTCCTCTCCTACCAGAGTGGTTCCAGTTCCCACCCTTTGCTTTTAGACCTCAGTCTTGAGGGATTGGCGTGATATGCTGGATTTGGTGTGAAAGTTCCTGGATGGTGTCTGAGACAGATCATGAACAGAATACAAGTGGGAGCCATTAGAGGACACTGAGTGTCAGGGAACGGTACCTAAGAACCGGCTCTCTATAAGCCCTTGGCTCACTTACTTTTGGAAGCGCTGGGACAGATGAAAGGGTCTCCATACGAAGCACTGGCTGGCTTCAAGTCCACAGTTTTCCTGCTGTGCTGGGATTGCTGGCAAGCACCTCCATGCCCAGAGTGAGTTCATTTTATTCTGGTCATTTCCCCTCTTGCCTCAGAACAGTTTTCTCTGAAGACATCACTGATTAGCCATCTGGTGGCTTGGTCTCACTTGTGCCTGGATGGTCTCACCTCATCACTGGGATAAGATCTGCTCTGGTTGATCCAATCTGATCCCACGTTGTGAGTGGGTGGAATGACAGATGTTAAGGGGTTGGTGCTTGGAAAACCCTTTGTGACCAGATTTAACCAATGGTATAAAACCAACGGTATAACCAGAGGTATAAAAGTGACTCTGAGGCCAAGCCCACGTGAAAGGCACTGTGTGTATGTGCAAGTGCGTGCACATGGAAGTCAAGGAAGATGGCAGGTTTCATTCTGTCCTGCTGCTCTGAGACGGATCTTTCACTGAACTGAAATCTTGCTGTTCAGCTAAGCTGACTGGCAGGAGAACTTTTGGGATCCTCCTGTCTTCTGCTCCTCGATGCTGGGGTTACAGTCACGAGCAGCCCTGCCTTCTTACATAGTGCTGGGATTGAAACCCAGGTTCTCATGCTCACAGCAAGCACAATTATCTATTTAGTCGCCACCCCAGTTTCTGGAGTCTTAAACATTTTCTGCATTTTTTTTGTATGTGCATGTGTGTAGGGTATGTCTGCCACAGCACGTATGTGGAGGTCAGAGGACAGTGGGCAGTCGTCACTCTTCTCCTACTACATGGTTCTGGGACTCAATCAGCTTGTTAGGCTGGGCGTCCTGCACTTCACCTGCAAAGCTGTCTCACCAGCCCCGGGGTCCGTTCTGGAGTGTACTTTTGTCTGGCCTGTGGGTGATGTACTAGTGTCTGAAAAATAATAATATCTAGTTGTTGGTGTTGTTAAGTTGTACTTGTGTGAGATGTTGCTAGAAAACAGTCACAGAGCTTTACAGAGAAAATACAAACTTCAGTCAATAAGAACAAGTGTTTTAATTTTTAAATTATATATTTACCTTATTCTCTCTCTCTCTCTCTCTCTCTCTCTCTCTCTCTCTCTCTCGTGTGTGTGTGTGTGTGTGTGTGTGTGTGTGTGTGTGTGTCTTGAATAGGTGCTGTGATGAAAACCATGACCAAAAAACAGCTTGGGGAAGGCAAGGGTTTATTTCAGCTTCACTTTTCACTCCATCAGTAGGGAAGCAGGCAGGAACTGAAGCAGAGGCCTGAAGGAACACTGCTTACTAGCTTCCTCTATGGCTTGCTCAACCTGGTTTCTTACACAACTCAAGATTATCAGGATGGGGTGGCACCACCCACAGTGGGCTGGACCCTCCCACATCAATCATTCAATTGCCAGGGCAGAAAGATTGTAAGAGCCAGAGGAACAGGGAACCAGCGGTGAGGTTGTGACTCCTAGGAATGTCAGAAGCTGCATTCATAAATCCTCACTAACATGACTGCCTAAGCCTGACCTGAACAAAGACGACACCAGACCTGCTAAGACCTCAGCCCTGCACAAAGAACCACGGGCGACTAAGGAACACTGAGAGTGGGAGAGATGACCTTCCCAGGGAGGAGCCCAGCAACATACAAGTAACAGACTGAGCAGGTTGTGTTTGTGTACGTACACACACACACACACACACACACACACACACACACACGTAACACATATATTCATATATGCAGGTTGTGTTTGTGTATGTATACACACACACGTAACACATATACATATATGCAGGTTGTGTTTGTGTATGTATACACACACACACATAACACATATACATATATGCAGGTTGTGTTTGTGTATGTGTATACACACACACACGTAACACATATACATATATACATGTACATATGTGTATGTAACAACAATTAATGAGTAAAAGGCACCATGAATTTGAGAGAGAGAGAGAGAGAGAGAGAGGAGGGATGTATGGAAGGGTATAGGGGGCAAAATGATGTAATTATATTGTAATCTCAAAAAAAATAATTTTTTAAAATGCCTCACAGATATGCTCACAGCCCAGTCTGATGGAGGCAAGTCCTCAGTTGAGGTCCCTTCTTCAGGTGACTCTAGTTTGTGTCAGGTTGACATCCTGCAGCACAAGGTGCTGTGTAAGTGCCCTGCTGCTCAGTTGCCTGCCCAGAACGTCTCGGTCTCCGGGTTTTAGTGCCTTTGCGTGTCTGTGGTGTGATTTTTGTAGTCCCACCCCTGTCCTGGTGCTGGGGACTGAGAATGAAACCAGAACCCTGAGCTTGAAATGTTCTGGCTTTGACTAAAGCCCAGCCTGTCTGCACGTGAGTTAGGTCTTGTAGTTTTTAAAGAGGTTGACGTAGAAGACAGCATTTGAGGCCTGTCTGGGGCCACGTAAGGAGACCAGTTCTTTTCTTCCTTTCTCTCTCTCTATCTCCTCCATCCCTCTCTCTCTGTCTGTCTCTCTCTTAATCTCTATAGCCCTGTCTCCTGCTTGACTCTGCCTCCCACGTGCTGGGAGTAAAGGTGTGCTACCAAATCTGTCCCTGTTTCTTAAAAAAAAAAAAAAAAAAAAAAAAAAGATGCACCGTTTTCCTATCTTCCACTATTTAAACCCTTGTCTCGGGTCATTCCAGCTGCCTCAGTAGCCTCTTGTTAAAGGTCTGTGGCTCATGGGAAATTTTCTCCAGAAGAATGCTCCTGGAATCACGGTTTCAGTTTGTGTGTTCTCTGTAGAAAGCAGGGTCGGCATTAGACCTTGACATTTTACTGAATGACCTTTCACAGAAGAGTGGTGTTTTCTTCCAAGATTCTACTGACATTTTAAAATTGAGCAGGTTTTTCTCACAACTGCTGCTTGTTGAAAAGGCATTGAATAGAATCCTTTTGTTTTAAATCTGGGTTGAAGCTGGGCAGAGTGGCACACCCTTTAATCCCAGCACTCAGGAGGCAGAGGCATGTGGATCTCTGTGAGTTTGAGGCCAGCCTGATCTACAAAGCGAATTCCAGGATCAGCCAAGGCTATTGTTACACAGAGAAACCCTGGGTTGAAACACAGTTTAGTTGAGAAGTAGTAATTACTTCCTGCAGGGTTGCTGGAGACTAGGAGTAATGTAACTAGAAAGTACTTAGGGCTGGGGAGATGGTTACATGGGTAAAATGCTGCTGCACAGGCCTGAGGACCTGAGTTCAGATCCTCAGGACCACCTCAGGCTGGAGGCAGTAGTGTGTGTACAAACCCAGCACTCCTGTAGCAGGCTGGGATGTGAGGTGGAGACAGGAGAATCCCAGCTGGTCTGGCACGTGAATGGGGAACAAGAGACCCCATGATAGAAAGTGAGGACCAGTACTCAGAGTTGCTCTCTGACCTCTACATGTGCACTGTGGCGTGTGCCCTCACTCACATACAGGAACATACACATAGATTAAAAAAAATAGTACTCAGCACAGTGATTGGCAGGTCTACAAGCACAGGCTTTGAGAGGAACTACTACCACCAGCCAGTCCCTGCATTACAGTCCCTCTGGAGACTCACATCGCTGGCTCTGTTCTCTGCAGTGGGAGAGAAAGCTGCTCGCTTTTCTTAAAGGTTCAGCTTTCCCCCTTCTCTTAGTTCTTAATGCAACTCTGAGCTTGCATCAGTTTACTCTGGAAGGCAGGGGACTCCCTATCTGTGCTCAGTAATTACACTGTTCGTTTAGTTTTTGATATTTTAAGAAAGGGTCTCACTGTGTAGTCTTGGCTAGTCTGAAACTATGTAGATCAGGCTGGTCTGGAACTCATGGAAATCTGCCTGCCTTTGTCGCTAAGTACTGGGATTAAAGGGTGTGCCACTACATCTGGCCCAGTAGTTACATTTTATTTCATCTCCCCAAAGCCTTAATCTCTTGGCCCTTGTGAATTGGGTGCAGGTCTGGGGTGACGTGTGCTAGCTACCACCTGCCGCTCTTGGTAGACTACGGGAACCTTGATAGAGCAGGTAGGGATGTCTGCTGCAGTAACTGCCATTCTGTGTGACAGATGGGAGATGTGTGTTTGGGTGTAGTTTGCTGTTGGAAAGTCATCGAAGGTTGAAAAAAAGGAGGGGAGTGGGAGATGGCTCAGCAGGTAAGAGTGACTGCCATACAAGCATAAAGACTTGAGTTCAAATCCCCTGTCACCAATGTAAAAACCTGGGCATTGTCGTTCGTGTCTGTAATCCTGGCTCTGAGCTGAGAGGATTGCTGGGGCTTGCTGGCCATCAGCCTAGACCCGGTCGGTTTCAAAGGAACGTTGTGGACAGTGGAGAGCAGAATACCCAACATCCTCTGCACTGCCCCCCCTCCGCCCCCAGAATCCTAAGGTAAAGAATATCTAAGGCTGCTGTTCTGAGGAATTCTGCTGTTCTAGTGGTTACTTTCCAGGCAGACCAAAGTGGCACAGTGCCCGAGTTGCTCCAATAGACCTTTGGTGTTTGTGGACTAGGAGTGGCTGTGATCTGGTCAACTCTGGCTTGTTTGGGAAGACCAGGGTACAGAGCAAGTGAGCTTCTTGGCATGTGGCTGCCACTTACAACTCTTTTATGAAATACCGTGTGGCATTGGTGAATTTGGAGATTGCAATGATCTTAGGGTGCATACCTTTAGAATTTCAAGGATCAACCATGATTTTTAAATTTTGTGTATGTATATATTTATGGGTTTTTTTGTTTGTTTTTGAAACAGGGTCGCTATGTAGTCCTGGCTGTCCTGGAACTCACCACATAGAGCAGGCTGGCCTCAGTTCAAAGAACTCTTCCCACTTCTGCCGCCTGAGTGCTGAGATTAAAGGCATAAGTATTATAATGTGCGTGTGTTCTTTTTAATCCCATGCTTCCACTAAGCTATGAAACGAAATACCAGTAGTCCCTTGTTCTACCCCTTTCCTCCAAATTTTTACTCCTCAGTGGCAACCATGTTCAGGTGTTTATGCTGCCTTCCATCACTGACTTCTGAAGATCCTTTCAGTATTTTTGAGACAGGCTGACAGTTGGCCTTCTTAAGGGGGGACCTTTATCACAGCACTTTGCCTCTCTCACTGTCCCACTGTCTCAGATAAGGCTGGTGTTTGTACTAGGACAGTGGAGTACCGTCCACAGCTGAGCAGCACAGTGCACTACAACCAGCAGCTGCCTTTCCCCACAACATGGCCTCGTTTGAAAAATGCTTGCCTTTTCTTTTTGTAAACGACTTTACTTTTAAACTTTATGCATGTGTGTGTGTGTGTGTGTGTGTGTGTGTGTGCGCGCCTTAGGTGATCAGAAGAGGGGGTCAGATTCCCTGGAGCTGTAGTTACAGGCAGTTGTGAGCTATTCCATGTGGGTGCTGGAAATGAATCTGGGTCCTCTGGAAGAGCAGCAAATACTGTCAGCACTGAGCCAGCTCCCCAGCCCCTCCCCCATACCTTGTTTTCTCAATGATATGTCTTCACATTGGTGAAACTCCTCAATTCTTGACATTCAGCCACATCAGAGCTGAAGAATACTTCAACTTAACTGCTCCAGCTGACCAACCTAGCTTGCCATGTTGAGATTCTCTGTTTTCAGACTTCTCTCTGTCTGCTATTGTGTTGGCTACCCAAATGTGTAGGGTCAGAGCCTGGGACCTGGTGGTCCCAACAAGCTAGGCTCTGTCCCTTGTCCCCAATAAGCCAATTAAAGAGGATAGTAATAGTGAGAAGCAGGGAAAGAAGATGTATTCACCATGGCCATGTTGGGGAGAGAAGCAAAGAGGTCCAGTGACCTTCCAAGTCCATGTTAGGTTTAAACAGCGTGAGCAGAGGACATTCGCAGTCCCTGAGTGTGAGTGTGGCTGTGCCCATCTCTGGCCCACCCTCCTCCTTCCCTCCCCCAGCATGAGAGTCCTGGGGAACTGAATTCTCAGGGTCCAGCACAAGTGCCTCACTAAATCTCTTCTCTCCTGCCAGGGTACTTCAGTGGCTCTAAAGGTTCCTCTGTTGTTCCTTTGTTTTTTTTGTGTGTGTGTGTTTGTTGTTTTCCTAGCTTGCTTAAGTGCGTCCTTTAGTAATGTCCTGAGGCAGAAAATGTAAGAGATACCCTTTGGGTTCTTGCTTCTCTAAAAATGCCTTAGTTTACCATCATAATTGATTAATCGGCTAGGAGTAGAATTCTCTGTTGGAAATAATTTTACTGGAGAATTTTGAAGGAATTATCTTTGAAAGAGTGTGATGCTAATTTTATTCCTAATTCTTTGTAAACCTGTCATTACGAGCCCCCCATTGGCTCCCAGACTTCTCTTTCTTTCTTTCTTTCTTTCTTTCTTTCTTTCTTTCTTTCTTTCTTTCTTTTAATGTAAGGTTTTATAGCACTGATTGATTACTTGTGTGTTTGTGCACGCATAGTCAGAGGACAACTTAGAGTTGTCATTTCTCTCCCGGGATGGAATTCAGGTCCTCAGGCCTGTGGCAAGGCCTGCCTTCCCTTCGGAGCTGCCTGCCCTGCCCTAGCTCATTCCCTAGCTCATTCCCTCTCTGTCTTTGAATTTCTGCAATGGACTTGGGCTGCTGCTGCGTGAACTAGTCTTCTCTGTGTTGTTCAGTTCTGCTTCCCCTTGTCTTGTTGAGAGGTTTGCTCAGTGATTTTCTTCCAGCTCTGTTAACTCTACATCTTTTGCCATTTTGAATTTCCAATGCTTGTTCCTTTCTCTCTCCCACCCCCTTGTCCCTTCTTTCCTCTTTCCTTTCTCTCTCCACCCCCTTGTCCCTTTCCTTCCTCTTTCCTTTCTCTCTCCACCCCCTTGTCCCTTTCCTTCCTCTTTCCTTTCTCTCTCTCCCACCCTCTTGTCCCTTTCCTTCCTCTTTCCTTTCTCTCTCCCACCCCCTTGTCCCTTTCCTTCCTCTTTCCTTTCTCTCTCCACCCCCTTGTCCCTTTCCTTCCTCTTTCCTTTCTCTCTCCACCCCCATGTCCCTTTCCTTCCTCTTTCCTTTCTCTCTCCCACCCCCTTGTCCCTTTCCTTCCTCTTTCCTTTCTCTCTCCACCCCCTTGTCCCTTCCTTCCTCTTTCCTTTCTCTCTCCACCCCCTTGTCCCTTTCCTTCCTCTTTCCTTTCTCTCCCACCCCCTTGTCCCTTTCCTTCCTCTTTCCTTTCTCTCTCCACCCCCTTGTCCCTTTCCTTCCTCTTTCCTTTCTCTCTCCCACCCCCTTGTCCCTTTCCTTCCTCTTTCCTTTCTCTCTCCACCCTCTTGTCCCTTTCCTTCCTCTTTCCTTTCTCTCCCACCCCCTTGTCCCTTTCCTTCCTCTTTCCTTTCTCTCTCCACCCCCTTGTCCCTTTCCTTCCTCTTTCCTTTCTCTCTCCACCCCCTTGTCCCTTTCCTTCCTCTTTCCTTTCTCTCTCCACCCCCTTGTCCCTTTCCTTCCTCTTTCCTTTCTCTCCCACCCCCTTGTCCCTTTCCTTCCTCTTTCCTTTCTCTCTCCACCCCCTTGTCCCTTTCCTTCCTCTTTCCTTTCTCTCTCCACCCCCTTGTCCCTTTCCTTCCTCTTTCCTTTCTCTCCTCACCCCCTTGTCCCTTTCCTTCCTCTTTCCTTTCTCTCTCCTCACCCACAGGCTGGCTTTGAACTCCCAGTATCCCCGCTTCAGCCTCCCCAGTGCTGAGATTACAATCATGTGCCACCAGAGGCACATGATTTCTTGTTCCCAGAACATTCCTCCTTATGTGTATTTAAAAAGGGCGTGTTGGGGGGGGGGGGTAGAAGCTGGAGAGATGTCTCAGTGCTTAAAGCACTCGTTGCTCTTTTAGAGGATCCACGTTCAGTTCCCAGCACCCACAACCTCACAACCATCTTCAACGCCAGCTCCAGGCCATCCAGTGCCTTCTTACGGCCTCCACAGGCACCAGGCATGCACATGTTCCACAGACATACATGCAGCAAAACACCCACACATATAAGATAACAATAAATAAATCATTAAAGACAGAAAGCCGGGAAGTGGTGGCCCAAACTTTAATCTCAGCACTAGAGGGCAGAGGCAGATGAATCTCTGAATTCAAGGCCAGCCTGGTCTACAGAGAAAGATCCAGGATGGCAAGGACTGCACAGAGAGACCCTATCTTAAGAAAACAAAAACAAAAACCAAAAAAAAGAAAAGCCTTATTTCCTGGATGTGATCTCTGCTCTTATTTGAGGATATTAAAGGTGGTTTTTTTAACCTCAGTTTCCCCCATATCATATCTGTTTGTTCTAAATGTTCCCCTATGCTCCTCTGTTTATCACTTGCCGTCACCATCATTATTATTCCGTTTTATGTGTGTGAGTATTTTGCCTCCATGTATATCTGTGTACCACATGTGTGCCTGGTATCAGTAGAGTCAGGAAAAGGGCATCAGATCCCCTGGAGCTGGAGCTACAGACAGTTGTGAGCTGCTACGTGGGGGTGTCCTCTGAAGAGCAGCCAGGCCCCAGTGCTCTGAACCAGTGAGCCAGCTCTCCAGCACTGGCGCTTTGTGTTCGTGCTAGAGTTCTGCTCTCTCTCTCTCTCTCTCTCTCTCTCTCTCTCTCTCTCTCTCTCTCTCTCTCTCTCTCTCTCTCTGCTGTTCCTTCACGTTCATAGTGGGAGGTGAAGCCTGGACTGACTGGGAGCCGAGTGGATGGGTCAGCCTTGAAGATGAATGTATTTTACCATGTGGAAGTTAGATGGGACTCAAGTATTTTATTGGGCATTTCGGTTGTCCTACACATACAAAACTCCAGTCTCCTTGGGGAGTGTGAGCCTGGCTGCTCGTCTTCAGTCTCTGAGCAGGCAGAGGTGGGAGTGGTGGAGGTGAGGGACTGTGCACACTTGAAAGCTTCAGCTTCTGCAGCTGAAGCTCCAGGTGCTCTCAGTAGTCGCTTTGGGCTCCCCAGCCCTGGAAGAGCTCTTCCCCAGCCAGCCTCCAGCACCTCCTTCCCCGGTCAGAGGCAGAGCAGACCTGAGAGTTGTCTGTCACTGGTCTGTCTGTCCTGCCTGAGGTTTAGTCCTGTCTTAGTGGCTCTTTATCTCCAGTACGGACATGCTGTGTGTTCTGTGTACTTGCCTGCCCTGGGCTTAGCGGGAAATTCATTCAAACCCCCGTCCTAGGAGCCAGAAGTTTCTCCCGGGAGGAAAAATAGCCTGTTCTGTTCTTTCAGCTGTAGAGCCCGTAGAGGGGCACAGGAGTGCCTCATTTTTGTTCCTGACCTTGTGTGTGTGACCACACAGGGAGGGCGGGTCCCATAGTCAGAGGTGATTCATGGAATGGAGGGGAGCTACAAAGTTCCTAGAAAATGTAGTATAATGAAAAGAAGCAAGTTATTATTTCAGATAATCCCAGGAAGTATGCAGATATTTACTGGGTCCAGACTCGGCATTAAAAGGCACACCTGGATTCTTCTTTTTCTCTTTTAACTAGTTTTATTGAAAACTTTCAAATATATGAAAATAAATACTTTTGAAGCAAATTTACTGTTTTATCTGTAAATATTTCCATCTCTTAAAAATACTACATTTAAAAAGAAATCATAACACATGCTACCTAAAGAAAAAAATTATATAATTTTACCAAACACAAATGATATTAGAAGCAGTTATTTTGGTTAGTTTTGTAGGTGCCCTATGGTTCCTGAAAACATGGCTTTGGGTCAAGTTTATTTGTGGTCTCTCCCTTTTCTATCTTTTTTTTTAAGGTACAATCTGTTAGGCCTTCTTGCATTATAATGTATTGCTGTAAAATATCTTATTAAGCATGTATTCCATGCACTTGTAGCACATTGTGAGTTATGCCACTGTGACCACAATTGAACTTGGTTACATTTCTGTCACACACACTGGGATCCCAGTCTAGTCCCAAGTTAGTATTAGAAACCGTACATTTACTTTTCCTGTGCCCTGATTTTTTTCTTCCCTTTTTAAAAAAAAATGTTATTTTTATTTCATGTGTATGAGTGTTTGCCTCCACATATGTCTGTGTACCATGTGTGAAATATCCACAGAGGCCAGAAGAGGTCATCACATTCCCCTGGAACTAGAGTTACAGTGGCTGTGAGCCGCCATGTGGGTGCTGGGAATTGAACTGGGTCCTCTGGAAGAGCAGTCAGTGCTCTTAACTGCTGAGCCATCTCTCCAGCCCTGGCTTTATACCCTTAGAACAACAATGCCTCCAAAAGACAGTGTCTTTGGTGCTAGATTCAGGGCCGCAGCCTGGGATGCGGGAGGGAGTGCGTGTGTGAAGTCGGCCACCGTCTCTATAGCTAGAGTTCTTCTCTGCTCTTGACTTGCCCTTTTCACCAGGGTTGCTAAGGCTGCTGCAGTCTCTTGGCATTCGCTGTTCTAGGAAATGCTGAATGCTAACAAATTTCAGTGGGGCAAATAAGCTTCCTCCCACATACTGGGCTTTTCTCACACAGACTCTCAGTGTCCTACACAAGTTACGAGAAGGGCTAAAGGATCTCGTGTGTACATGGATCTGGAGCTGAACTGACTTTTGCTCCTTAGTTGACAAGTTCTTACATGTAGGCCCATTATTAGACATCACAAGCTTTATAAGCTCCAAATGTGGCCAGCCATGCTTTAAAGTTGTCTGAAATCACATTTTTATTTTGTGTGTGTGTTTAGCAGTCAGATCACAGCTTTCAGGAGTCGGTTCTCTGGGACCCAGGGATGGAACTCAGTTTGTCAGCAGGAACATTAACTGGCTGAGCCATCTTGCCAGCCCCACACCTCTCTTACTGCAGCATTCTGTGGACTGGCTCTGAGTTGAGCTTTTTGGGTCTTAACCCTTTTTTCCTTTGTGTTTTCTATAGGACAATGGATTTTCCTGGTCATTTTGAGCAGATCTTTCAGCAGCTGAACTACCAGAGACTTCACGGCCAGCTCTGTGACTGTGTCATTGTAGTGGGGAACAGGCATTTCAAAGCCCACCGCTCCGTGCTGGCGGCATGCAGCACGCATTTCCGAGCTCTGTTCTCTGTGGCAGAGGGAGATCAAACCATGAACATGATCCAGCTAGATAGTGAGGTGGTGACAGCAGAGGCCTTTGCTGCACTGATTGACATGATGTATACCTCCACCCTCATGCTGGGGGAGAGCAACGTTATGGATGTCTTATTGGCAGCCTCTCACCTGCATTTGAACTCCGTTGTTAAGGCATGTAAACATTACCTGACAACAAGGACGCTGCCCATGTCTCCCCCTGGTGAGCGTGTTCAGGAGCAGAGTGCTCGCATGCAGCGCTCTTTCATGCTGCAGCAGCTGGGACTGAGCATTGTGAGCTCAGCCCTCAGTTCCAGCCAGGGTGGCGAGGAGCCGCCAGCCCCCATGAGCTCATCCATGCGCAGCAACCTGGACCAGCGGACACCCTTCCCCATGAGACGCCTTCACAAGCGCAAGCAGTCTGTGGAGGAGCGGGCCCGGCAGCGCCTCCGGTCCTCCGTGGATGAGTCTGCCATTTCAGATGTCACTCCAGAGAGCGGCCCTTCGGGAGTGCATTCTCGGGAGGAGTTCTTTTCACCAGATTCTCTGAAAATTGTGGATAATCCTAAACCCGATGGGATGGCTGACAACCAGGAAGACAGTGCTATGCTGTTTGATCGGCCGTTTGGTGCCCAAGAAGATGCCCAGGTGCCCAGCCAGTCAGATGGCAGTGCTGGCAACATGGCCTCCCGAGCAACTCAAGTTGAAACTAGCTTTGAACCAGAAGCTGTAGCAGAGAAGGGCAGTTTCCAGTGCGAGAACCCTGAGGTCGGCCTTGGGGAGAAGGAGCACATGCGAGTGGTGGTCAAGTCGGAGCCCCTGAGCTCTCCCGAGCCGCAGGACGAAGTGAGCGACGTGACCTCCCAAGCAGAGGGCAGCGAGTCGGTGGAAGTGGAAGGAGTGGTGGTCAGTGCCGAGAAGATAGACCTCAGCCCTGAGAGCAGCGATCGGAGTTTCTCAGATCCTCAGTCCAGTACGGACAGGGTCGGGGACATCCACATTTTGGAAGTCACAAATAATCTAGAACATAAGACCTCTTTTAGTATTTCAAATTTTCTCAACAAGAGCAGGGGGAATAACTTCAGTGCAGGTCAGAGCACCGATGATAACATCCCAAACACCACCAGTGACTGCCGGCTGGAGGGCGAGGCCCCTTACTTGCTGAGTCCAGAGGCTGGGCCTGCAGGTGGGCCTTCCTCTGCCCCTGGTTCCCATGTGGAGAACCCATTCAGTGAGCCTGCAGACTCCCACTTTGCCAGGCCTATGCAGGAGGTGATGGGCCTGCCCTGTGTGCAGACCTCAGGCTACCAAGGAGAACAATTTGGGATGGATTTTTCCAGGTCTGGCTTGGGTCTCCACTCTTCCTTCTCCAGGACAATGATGGCTTCCCCAAGAGGAGGAGCCAGTAACTTTCCATACTACCGCCGCATAGCTCCCAAAATGCCGGTTGTAACTTCCGTCAGGAGCTCCCAGATCCCTGAAAACTCTGCCAGTTCCCAGCTAATGATAAACGGGGCCACCTCATTTGAAAATGGCCACCCTTCTCAGCCTGGCCCTCCGCAGTTGACCAGGGCATCTGCTGATGTCCTGTCAAAGTGCAAGAAGGCCTTATCAGAGCACAATGTCTTGGTTGTGGAGGGGGCTCGAAAGTACGCCTGCAAAATCTGCTGTAAAACCTTCCTGACTCTGACAGACTGTAAGAAGCATATCCGGGTTCACACGGGTGAGAAGCCCTACGCCTGCCTCAAGTGCGGCAAGAGGTTCAGCCAGTCCAGCCACCTGTACAAACACTCAAAGACCACCTGCCTGCGCTGGCAGAGCAGCAACCTCCCCAGCACCCTGCTCTAACTGCTGTCCTTGTGGACAGTCCAGGGGCAAGGTCTGGACTGAGGTGAAAGTCGCTCTCGGCAGGCAGCTAAGGCCGCTGGACTGGAGGCCGCAGCTGGCCGGTGGCTCCTGGAATTTCAGCCCGTAGTAAGCAGAGGACTGTGAGGTGCGGCATGCACAGCGCTGCCTTTGAGTGAGGTGTCACCAGGGAAACTGACGTGAGCGCCGGAACCCAGGCCTTCCTCAGGGGTGAGGAATGCAGTCGTAGTTTGTCCTTGATGGTAAGAGTGGGAAGCTGGAAACATTGTAACACTATTTTAAAGCCCTGGGAAGCGTTAATTAAATTTCCTACATCCTCTGATGGGAGTATTCCAGCCCTGTACAGAAATGCAAAACATACGTCTGTGTAACCAGGTAACTTGGTGCTGTCTGGAAAAAAAGGCCCTGGAGGGCAAGCCTGTCTGCCACAGATGCTTTAAAGTGTATCCTGAGCTAGTCCTAGGCCTCAGAAAGTACTGTATTTGTTTTTTTTAATCTGAGTTGCAGTCACAGACACTGCCCTCTGATGGTGCTGGCACTGGGTCCAGGTAAACATGCCCTTGGACAACAGGTGTATAGTATATACTTTTGAATCATCTCTGTGGAGTAGGTGTTTTTAATAATTGTTTTTCTAGTCTTAAAAACAGTTGTAGTGGAGTATGTACCTGTATGGAGTGACAGTGGGTGTTTCTGTACGTGCTGTGTTAGCAGTGTTGAACCAATGTATTGCCGATGCTGTAGTTGTTTGAAGTCAGGAGGAAGCCAGTGTCTGTCTTCGTTCTGGCGATACAGCGTCCTGTTTTGTGGGTTTTCCTGGTGCATTTGCCTTTCATTCCACCCAGATGGCCAAGGCACAGCCACCCAAGATCAGCTGCTCTGCTTTGTCACTTCTCACTCCCAAGCTCCCTAGACCATCTCTCCCGGCGGAACCAGCTGAACTAACCACAGCAGCCATGGTTTATTACTGCTCTGCTAGGCTGCTAAAGCTACCCCTCAGCTGTCAGCAGTGTCCTCTTTAACAGTCCTCAGTGGTTAGTTATTTAAACCTAAATGTGGTGGTGTCCATGACTCAGCGCTTTCCAGGCTTTGGAAGAGTTAGGTAGCCCACAGCACAGAACTCACCAGAAACATCCAAGGCTCTTGGGGAGGCATTCGGTTCCCTGTCCAGGATCTCGTGTCCTCCGTCTGCCTTGCTGTCAGGGCTGCTGCATCTTGGCGTGCACCCAGGGAGCAGCATGGGCCTGTGCGTATCTGTAGGCTCGTTTACTTCATTCATGGACAAGAATTCCTGGTTTTCTTTCATAAATCAGAGATACCAAACCATTGTGCATAGTTCAGAGAAGTTCAGTCAAGTGTAGAAAGCTATGTATTTCTGTATTTCCTACAACAAAAATGAGTGTGTGTCTTCTCTTGAGCTAGTGTGACCATGAATCTGTGGATAGACCTGTCATGTTCTGAGAGAGCATGGCATCTGAACTGATTCCTAGGGAAGAAAGCCCAATGGAAACCTGGACCCTCCTAAGCAGGTGTGTGAGAGAGACACCATTGGAAGCAATAGGGTCACTTGAGAAACTGCTGTGTGGCTTATTGTCATCAGTCCTGTTGAGACATGATGGGGGTGGGTCTGTATCCACCTTCATGGTGTGGGGACCAGTGGGAGTCGTGGGTCAGCATGGAGAAGCAGAGATGCCCTGCTGGGTGAGGAGCCAGTGTCACAGCAGAGAGGCAGTCCCCTGCCATCCTGTGTCAAGGATGTAGTGTTTGGAGTCTGCCCCTCACCTCAGCTTGGATACAGATGGATTGGCTTTGGGGCCTGTCCCTGGCGCATGAAGGAGCCTGCCTCTCCACAGCTGGATGGACCTGGAATCTCATCTACCTCGTAGTCGGTCTCTACGTGTGAGAAGCAAGCTTGCAGGCCAGTGTCCTCCAACATGCTGTAGCACTTAAAGATTTCCATGGGTCCCTGGGGAACTAGACCCAGGGTTGCTGTGACCTCGAGTTCTACTGGGATTCTAACTGGTACTGGGGACCTGACTTTTGATTTTTGTAGCCTTAATTCTAGCCTGGCATAATCATGTACAATCTTCTGGAGACGGCATCAAGTGTAGAGGCACCCTGTTGGTGCTAATGCTGGTTAAAACAGATTTTGAAATAAAAAATTTGTCATAGTCACGCCTCTAAATACGTGTTCTCCTCTACTTAGATGGAAACAAAACAGGGAAGTGCTTCTCTATTGGCCCTGCTGCTGGGTGGTCTTCAAATCAGTGAGCCTCCACTGGGAACGCTCCCATCCAACACTTCTCCCCTGTCCCCTGTCCCCGCACCTGCCTGTCTGCTGTGGCTGTCTGAGAGGTTGGCAATGGCAGTGCTGTGGCCTGGCCTTGGGGAGGAGCTACCTGGGATGCAGAGGGAACACTGGGTAGACTAGACAGATTTGAACCTGGGAATCCCGCCGTCACTGTGGCTGACCAACAGTGCTGGCCTCACCTCTCCTTTCAGAAGTTTGCTCCATGTTGTCTGCTCTTTCGCCATGGTCTAGGTCTTGGGTTCAGGTGCTATGTTTTCCTGGTTCTGCTTGTCTTTCCTCAGTGAGGGAAAGCAGTGTGGGAAGCAGAGCCCAGGCAGATGAGCAGGCACCCAGTCAGCAAACACAAGAGATGGTCTTTGTGTAGTGCCCTCAGTCACAGGCCCCGATGCTGAGTCAGAAATGATTTAATGCAAGAATTACAGGCTTTTGGCTTGGGTGTGGCAAGCCCATTTGCTAGTTCCCTTGTCCCCCTGCAGATACAGTAGAGGAGGCTTCCGCCAGGCTCTTTCCTGAGTCCAAAGTCCGGCAAAATGTCTCCAGCCCACGAAAACCCGTCTGGCTACAGCTTGAGTTCACTGGGCATCGGCTCCCCTCGTAGGCCAGCCAGCAAGTTGTTAGCTGCCAGCACGGACATGGTGTTGCGGGTTTTGTAGGTGGCGCTGCCGATGTGGGGCAGGATCACTGGAGGGAGAAGGAAGCGTTGGTACCAGGCTACCAGTTAACAGGACAAAGGTTCCACCCCAGTGCCTGTCACTACAGTGTCCTCACAGGCTCAGTGAACTAGACTCAGGACTTAGTTCCCTGTGAACGCCATGCCTTCGGGTTGGGGTTCAATGGAGCAAATGCTGAGACCCAGATCCAAACAAAAGACCTGGACCCTTAAAAATATGGTAGGCAACAGGGAGTCTTGTTGCCTGTCTGGACGGTGAACCTAGGCACCAGCTTAGGAGCCTAGCAGCTACCACCCCCCGCACCTTTGAGAGTCATGGCACAGGCACCTCTGGTCCCAGTGCAGAGCAGATGAGGAATTCTCTCTGAAGAGCTGCCCGCCTCCCAGAGCTGCATGCGGATATGAATGGGGAGAGCGCCCGCTTTCCTGGCTGTGGACAGTAACCCTCACATCACAGCAAGTGTTCCTTGCAGGCTGGCATGGGGATGGGGTCAGGAGGATTGCCAAGGGCTGAAATAATGGGAGCCTTCACTTAAGAGACAGCAAGAACATGTTTGGGCTTCCTCCCCAGAATGCAGAGGGACATCCATAGCCCTGATGCCTCTCGGTGAGTCTGGAGACAGAAATGCCACCGTTTCCTGAACAGAGAGGAAAGGCAAGCCGAGGCCAGGGTCTCAAAATGCTCCCAGGGCCAGAGGCACCAGCATTGTGTCATCAGGAACCTGTAAAGGGCACTGTCTCAGACTGCAGTCCAGACCTGCAGAAGCCCTTAGGGCAGGACCTGGCAACCAGTGGCTCAGTCCCTGCAGGAGACAGGAAACAGGAAACTGGAGCCACTGCACTAGCTGACAAAGTGGCCGTAGCCAGAAGCATCTAGGGCCCTCAGACAAAGGGAGAAGGGAGACTTAGCCCAAGGCTGAAGAATGGCCCAAACTCCGAAGTCGGGGCACTGATGGCTGGTGAGCCAAATGTTGGAAAACCTAAAGCTGGACTCTTCAGCCACAACATGAATGAGCCGTTGGCTGCTAGAAGCTTCATAATGGACACCAGTTGTTAAACACTGTCATTACTTTTCCATACACTGGTAATAGCCATTCAGAGTGATGAGTTAGCCCCATGAGTAGCTATACGAGTGTGGTCAGCCTTCCTTTAACAAACCCATGCTCTCCTTGGATCTGTCCCCGTGGGACAGAGACTTAGCTGAGCATCACATTCCTGTTAAACACCAGTCACTGGTAGCCTACGCTCTCCCAGGCCCTGCTGTGCCCTCTGGGTTAGCATCGCCTCGGCTAGCTCCATAGCCAGTGGTCTCAACACTCCACAGGGTAGCTCTGCATTTGCACCGGAAACAGCTCTCACCACAGTTCTTGAGGGTCAGCAGCGGGTGGCTTGGAGGCAGTGGTTCTGGAGTGGTCACGTCCAGTCCTGCTGCTGCAATCTGGCCGCTGGTTAATGCCTGGTACAGGTCGTCCTGGTTTACCACATCTCCCCTGGAAGTGAGAGGTGATCTGGGGCCCGGACACTCCCTCCACCCAAGCCACCTCTAGGGCAGAACAGCCCACAGACTGTAGTTTTCCACTCATCACCTGGCCCTGCCACTTACTAGCTTGTGACAGAGCTAATAAACTTCCCTAGGCTCCCGAGGAAACCCTAACTTCCAGAACACTGGGGATGGGAGTACTTAGCAGACTCCGAAGGTCTCTGTAGACCTCACTCTTGGTAGCAGAGAAGTGGGCCTGCTGGGAGCCCTGGTGACTTGCTCCCAGAATCACACTACTGTGGTGAGCCAAGCCCTGAGCAAGGTTGGGCTCCTGCAGGGAACAGGAAGGCTGGGCCCTGTGCTCACTGATCTTCCTCACCCATTTCTCCAAGGGCCTTTCCTGTATTTGAGCTGTTGATTTACAGAGGTTGACATGTCATCTTGACTCACTCATCACCACCAATGGGGACAGCAAATCCAGGTCACAGGGGTCGGAACAGCCCTCTCCAGCAGTCCCCCAGAGATGAGGGCAGCCCTCAACTACCTGCTGATGTTGACGAAAACAGCCGTGTTCTTCATCTTCTGGAATAAATCCTTGTTGCAGAGCCCCCTGGTAGCAGGTGTTAAGGAGCAGGCCACTACAATGAAGTCCGACTCTGCAGCCAGCTGAGCAATAGGCACTGGAGGGGACGGGGGAGGGCTTCTTCAGAGACTGAGTACCAGTGAGGGACGGTAAGGTGGCAGAGGCCATGACGTGGAGTAGCTCCTACCTCCCACAAAAGAAACTCCGAGGATGCCAGGCATGATGGCAACTATTCCAGTGCTCTAGAGGCTGAGGCAGGAGGCTACCTTAACTTGGAAGCCAGCCAGAGCTACATAGTGAAACTGTCTCTAAAATCAGTGGGCTAGGGAGATGTCTGTCAGTAAAGTGCCCGGTGCATAAGCGTGAGAACCTGAGTTTGGATTCCCAAGACCCACCTGAAAATCTCGGGAAGACTGTAATTCCAACCCTAGGGAGATTGAGACAGGTGGCTTCCCGGAACTCACCGGCCTGCCGCCACTCTTAGCCACATCAGTGAGTGTTGGGTTCAGTGGGACACCATGTCTCAAAGACTACGATGGAGGGGCTGTAGAGCTGGCTCAGCAGTTAAAACCATCACGAGAGCCAGAGTTCGGGTCCCGGCACCCACATAACATCCTGAGTATGCCTGTAACATCAGCTCTGAGATGGGCAGAAACAAATATCAATTGCTAGGAATCCCCACCTAGATGAGAAAACTCGAGGTCCAGGACACATGCTAGAGGTCTGTGCTCCTGAATGGCCTTCTGTGTCCCAAGCAGGTAGACTAGATAACACATAAGGGTCACAGAAGCCCCTGACACTTCAAGCTCCTGCATTCTGCCTGCAAATGACACCCACCCCCACCATCATGGAGCACAGATGGACTCCAGGAGAAATCGGGGTTTTACTTACCAAACTCCGCCTGGAATTCTGCTGCTTCCTGAGGCCTGGGCTGGCGCCCCGTGTAGAGAAATCTCTGGACACCAAATGGTTTCAGTCGTCGGGCAATCGCCTGACCTAGAGGCGAGGAGTCCACAGCTTGCTCGCGCCTTCTAGAGGGGGGGGCAGCTGACCCTTAGAGGTGGATCCTTCTGACTTAGTGGACTAGGCTGCCCCACTGTAACTAGTCCCCGGACAGTATACTGTTCTCAAGGATTTAGACAGTGCCACACTCTAAGCAGACTGGCTCACACTGGCTGCACAGTCCCAGTCATCGTGAGGGTCATTTGCTGACTTTCTCCAAGAACCGGATGCGGCACCTCTGAAGATAGGGGGTCAAGAGGTCCCCTCTCTCCTGAATTCTCCACTTCTGCGAACACAGCCCTACTGCCAACTTGACCGACAAGAGTTTTTCATACATGCTACTACTGCCAACAGGCTTGGACAACTGGGTCCTCAGACCCCAACACATCCCAGGTTGTTGGACTCCTCCAAGAAGCTCCAAGGATTGCCGGCTGGCCAGACAGGTTACCTCACTCTCCCCGCCACCCCCCACTCCTCCGGCTGCCTCTCTGTACAGGCAGGATGACAGCACCCTAGTCTCCTTCCAGGCTTCTGAAGTGACAGCACTGAAGGAGAGGGGACCCTTATCTGCAATGGCAGAATGGGAAGTAGCCTGCCTTCCAGAACTGGGGTCCAGGGTAGGTGCAGGCTTTCCCACAGTAAACCGCTTCCATGGCCAGCCCCGCACCAGACAGCCTTCACGTTCTTTAGCAAACTCAAAAGAACCCTAGCTCTCTGCAGATTGCTCCTGTGAGCCAGTTGAGTTCTTTGGAATTCTTGAGCTTATTTTATTCTTTTAGCCACACACACAGCCTCCCCGAAGGACACCCATTGTCCAGGCTCATAGCACTGGAAACTCAACCCAGTGGAAAAGGTTGGGGAGCAGGTGGTGGGGAGCAGGTGGTGGGGAGCCTCACCTATGCGTCCCAGCCCCACAATGCCAACAGTGCTCTGCGAGAGTCCGTAGCCGCACATCCATAAGGGATTCCAGGAGCTCCAGCCGCCGCTGTGGGGAGGAGGGGTGGTGATTAGCCTGACCTTGGGAAGAGGTGAGGGGCCTTGGGAGCCCACCCTGAGCACTCCTAGCCTTGGTCTGAAGCTAATCCTGCCTCCAGGTCACAGGGCAAGAGTGCCCAACAACAGAATGGCTCTTTTGAAGCCAACAGGGGACACAGGAAGCGAGGCCACAAGGAACCTTAGAAGCACCCCTGCTTTTGTAGATGGGGAAGGCGACAGAAGGGTGGTCTGCCTGAGGTGGCGCCACCAGGGAGTCGGGAGCAGAGGCTGCAAACTGAAGACCTGGGGTTCAGAACAAGTTCTGGAACCAAGCACTCTAGAGCATCACAGAAGCTGCCCTCCATGCTGTGCCCTGTGGCCCTGCGTGGGCCAGACTCCGGCTTCTCACCCAGAACCCTTGCACCTGCCTGGGAAAATGCTTTTTCAGTTGTACCCACAGTGTTCCCCACATGATGCCCTTGGGCACTGTCGGGAAAGCTTCCTGTTCCTCACATTGAAGAGCCACGATACTGTGGTGTGGGCAGCCTTGGCTCCCAAGGCCATGTCCAGTCCTCCAGCTTGTCAATTTCAGCATAGCAGGTATGCAGTGTACGTTCAGCAGCTACTGGATCCACTCCACTGCCCCCAGCTCAGCAGAATTTGTCGTCGTGTCCATGTCTGTCCCCGGTCGTGTGTCCGTCCGTCCGTCCATGTGTGTGTCCCTGCTTAGCCTCATCTCTCACGACTTCCCTTCCTGCCCCTTTAACTGTTTCAGCTGAGTGCGTTCTCCCCACTCGAGTCAGAGAGCAGATCTGAGCCAGGCTGACCGAGCATCCAGGGCCCCTGCTTTCCCACCAGCCATCAACTTACTTCTTTACTTCCTCTATGGCCTCTGGCAGCCGGCGGCAGGTCGTGAGTAGCAGGGAGACAGCGAGTTCTGCGGTGGCATCTGTCAGGACACCTGGCGTGTAGCCCACCCGGATCCCGCTAGGAATCAAACATCTGCTGTGACACTGGCCTCAAGCACCTTCACCAGTGTCTACTGATGGGTCACTTCCGAGATGTCGCCCTGCTCCTTCTTAGCGCTGACTGCCAGGAAGCTCAGAACTGTAACCGGTCCTCATTCCCATCATCTCCCACTATGGGGAGTAAGATCAGGGCTCAAGGTCTGGAGCAAGAAGCTACTTAATGGTCCTGATTTCTTCACTGGAAAGGGAAATAGTGACACTTGCCCTTTCTACTTCCAGGATATCATGGAGATCAGAAGGGATAGTAAACCTGACAGGTGGGGTCAGAGGTCACCCATGGCTTCTAACCTGGGTTTAAGTGGCTTGTGCAGATGTGGGTGATTTTAGCATCGGCCACTCTGCACTCTCTGGGGGGGCACACAACACGAGCAAGCTGAGACCCCTTCTTGCCCGCTCTGGTTCCGCCCTCACCCCAGCTGTATTTACCGTTTCTTGATTTCATCCAAGGCCAAGTGGTCAACCCCCACTGACAAGGTGCTGATGACTTTGAGGTTAGCTCCTGTTGTATAGAAAACACACATGTCTGTCCTCATGGGATTCAAAGCCATGCTCTGGGGACAATCCCGGGACACCTACTTATTATTTCTTAGATGAAGGGGAAAGCTGTCAACTCTGTCCCTCGTATAAAGCTGAACAACCTCTGCCACCTGCAGAGGCTCAGGGATGGGCTCAATCACAGCACACCTGGGGTCCTGTCAGGACTCACACCTGTGCCCACCAGCGGCCTTGGTCTCCATTACCCACACCAAAGGCTTTCCCATGGACACTCCAAAGATGCTGAGGTGGCGGCTGGGATGTAACCCCCAAATGCGCCCTCTACCACTAAGCATCTAGGTCAAGGCCAGGGGCGGGAGTGAATCTGGCAGCTGCTGGGGCCAAAGCTTTCCTCAAACCATAGCAGTATGACTCACAGGGTGATGGTCACCCTACCCAGGAACAAGAGCTGGGACCACAGCTGTGCACACATGTGCTGGGTGCCTATCAGTGCTGGGCACAGACAGTGCTGGGTCCTCTGTCCTGCAGCACACAGGCCCAGAGAGATCTCAAGGTCACAAAGCAAGGCTATGGCACAGTAGGAAGGTTCTGAGCCCATGGTACCCTCCTCTGCTCCCCACCCTATTCATGCAACACGTGATCTTGGCCCTCTTGAAGCCTCTCAAGAACTTACAAGCCAGATGGGGGACATGTGCCAGATGGAGCCACCGCTGGGGTGCCCTCAGAAAGACCAGCTCAAAAGGCCAGCTGCAGCAAGCTGATGTGCTCCTAGGGCAAGCTCCCACTCAGAATTCTGCCCAGGCTGGCTCTGCACATACCTGCAGCATCCAGAAGTTCCTTGTCCACGTGGTCAGTGAGGCGGCAGAGCAAGCCATGAGCCCCCACCACACTTTGCTCCAGTTCCTTTCTGGGGATGGGATCGTCTGAATTCCACTGCTCCACTTCACAGCTGAAGGGAAGGGAAGCCCCTCAGAGGATGCAGGGGGCTGACCAGATGCTAGAGCACGCACAGCTGGCAGACATGGCCTTCCACCTGCTGTGGCTTTAGGCTGGCCAGAGTTAAGGGCAGGTGTGTGGCGCCTCGGAACTATCTGGAATGTAGTTGGGGGAGGGAATGAAGGGCTGCCAGAGTCGGGGAGCTGACAAGAGCTGAGTGCCCCCCCAGGACAGAGCAGAGCTCAAGCTGAAAAGGGGAATGTCCTAGGGACCACTCTCAACCCCAGAAAGAGCGCTCTCCTATACACAGTGAGGCTCCGGGCAGCCAGCTGTGGAGAAAGTTGGGGGAGGGTAAAGAAGTGGAGGGGTGTCCGACATCAGATTAATAGGGCTTATCTTCCATGGCCAGTTGCAGTTCTGAGTTCACAAAACAGAAAACTTTGCCCTGTGGACTTGCCAGCTCAAGGCCGCCTAGCTGTGGGAGCCCCACGTGTGAGGTGCTCCTCCAAACCTTTGCCATTGAATTCAGAGTAGTCCCAGTATGTGTTCACAGGAGGTACAGGACAGTGGCTGGCAGGTGCCCGGGTCCACTTGTCCCAGCACTTCAAGACCCAAAGTCCCAACAAAACATGTCCTCAGGAAACGTTTGTACTATACTAGAAAAATTCAGAACAAATCACATTCCCCGCAACCCATCAGAACGGAGTGCCTAAGGGGTCTCACCTTCTCCCAAACTGTCAAGTGGTCAGACTGCAATGGGACAGGTCTGAGTATAAAGGCCAAGTCTGCCACCTGGAGCTGAGTGACCCCGGGGCAAGAAACAAGCCCATGTAGCCTGTGTTTTCAAATAGGTGATGCAGGAGTTCTAAGGCTGACTTCACAGTGTTGGGAGGACTGAAAGTTTGTGTTCACAGCTCCTGGCAAGGCTAGCGACCAGAGGCGGTTCGACGGGAAGAACCAAAAGGCCCTGTCGAACATCCAAGGAGCCAAGCCAGTGATTATCACAGTCCCTGACCCCTCCTGCCTGCCAGCGAACCTCAGAGGGTAAAATCCAGAGCCCGGACCTCTTACCTCGTAGGCAATCTCCCTTCCCCAAAGGCTGGAGACCAATAGCCTGAAGCAAGCTGCACCCGGAAGAACTTTCTCTAAGACTCCGAGCCCATCCCCCGCGGACACAGCTGGCAACTCGTAAGCAAAGCCCCCAAGCGCCAGCCCCAGCCTCTGGGGTCCTGGTTTCACCCCCACCCCCCCCACCCCCCCGCCTGCCAGGCACCGGGGTCTTGGAAGGTAGTCCCAGCGGCGTGTCTGGAGACAGCCAATCCACCCCGAGAGGTTCGGGAACACCCGCCGGGTGGACCGGGCAGCGGGCCGGAGGCTCAGCTGCAGTCCCGGTACAGACGCGGGCGCTTACTCTGCGGCCTTGGCGAGCACAGCCCGGCCCTCGGCCGGCAGCGGACCAGTGACGAACACCTTCATGAGTCGTGCTAGTCTCATACGATCCGCAGCCGCAAACACTAACCAGCCGGGCCCCGAGCACCGCGACGGAAGTGGGGGCGGGGCCGGCGCTGGGGGCGGGGCCGGGGGCCGGGCTCTCAGCCTCCCCAATGTGGGTGGGGCTTGTGGCTCCGGGGATTGATTGATTGTCCAGGAAAGAGGCGGTGTGTTGGTGTAGGTTGAGTGCAGGGCTCTGAGAGCCTTCATGGGAGTGCGTGCCCTCAAGGGTGATGTGGCCTGGGGACGGCCAAGCATCCCTAGGAGCCTGGATGAGTGAGGAGCGTACTGAAAAGGGACCTGTGTGGGTAGCTACGGATATGAGAGTCTCTTGAGTATGCTGCCAGAATGAGGAGGGGAGATAGCCATGATGAGCCACGCTACGTCTATTTTAGCCACAGTATCCCAGGCAGAGGCCTTTGATTAAACACACCAAACTCTAAGCCAAGCCTGACCTGCATACTCTCAGGAGGCTTGGGGAGAAGGTCTGAATCCAGATATTATACCTCTAATATTTAGGATGATTCCCTACATTAAATCCACAGCTACCTGGGGCTGAATGCCAGCTCCACCACCATGAACAATTATTAAGATTTTGTGTGCCTCAGTTTCTTCATTTGTAAGATGGGAATTATAGTAGTACTTGCCTCTTGGCTTGTTGAAGGATAAGTATGTACGGTGCTTGTAATAGAGACACCGAGCAAGATGTGCTGATGTATGCTTATAATTCTAGCATTCAGGAGGTAGAGGCAGGTTTGCAAGTTCAAGGCCAGGCCAGACTTCACAGCCAGGGATGCAGATCCTGAAGGCAGTGTAGGACTAGCTCAGGACCCCAGGCCCGTCCTTCAGCTCTACAGGCCTCATTTTGGTCTTAGAGCTGCTTAGTGACTTGCTCTCAGATCGGGGCAGTGGGGGGTGGGGGGAGGCTGCAACATGGTGATTTCTTTACTGATTTTATGGGGACCCATAAGGGCTCCAGTAGATAATGTGCTCAGGGTTGACAGATGTCAGCTGGGCCTTCTGGGGTCTTTATTTTATTTTTGAAGCGTGTAGCCCCAGCTGACCTCCAGCCCACCATACAGCAGAAGATGGCCTTGAAGTTTCTGAATCTCGTGCACCTAGCACCACTCAGCTCTCATCTGGGTTCATGCCAAGGTTTCGCTCTGCTGCCCCAGTCCTAAGTAACACATTACTAAGTGTCTCCTCTACTGCCCTGTATGTGTGTTGCTAGGCCACTGCAGAGAAAGGGAAGGTCCTGGAATGTGTCAAATATTGACACAGAGAGATGTTTTTGTGCCCCCAGGCCAGGCCTGCTGGGGGAGCTTGTGACTCCACTCAACTCTCTCCACACACCGAGGGCAGGCAAGGGCACGGGTAACTGGGCAAGCATGTCAACAGGGGTCATGGGTCCCTCCCTCAGGGTGAAGCATCCTGGTGACATGCAGACGGTACTATAAGCTGGTAGGAGAGAAAACAGAACACAAAGCCAGCCAAGGGCCCTGGAGCCTGCTCCCTGCTTCAGAGCCTAAAGCCGACGAGCATCGGACACTGATGATGTTTATGGGACCCTTAGTAGGCACAGGAGACCTACTAACACTTCCCATGGGAACACCCTCGTCACACTGTTTCCTTCATCTACAGACCGGAAGCTGAGGACAGGAGTCGGGGAAGATGTTTGCCTGGAGTCACACGGCCACTAAGAGGCAGAGCTTGCACTCAAGCCCTCACCTTGGCTCTGGATCCCAGCTCTAGAAAGTGTTGTAGGAGGCAGAAGACAGGGAGTGCTAGGTACCTGGGGTGCAAAAGTCAAGGCCAGGAGGGGCTTATGACCCTGAAGCTTACTGTGTGGTGGGCTGAAGCTGGCATTCCAAGGTCCTGGCTTCAGAAGCAGGAGCCTAGGAACACTTGGCCACCGCTAACGCATGGGGAGGAAAATTCAGTGTGCAAAAATTCAGAATGACAGTAAGAATGACTCTATATCTTGTTTACACAGGTTAACAACCACCATCTGACCGGGGGCGTGGCGCACGCCGTTAATCCCAGTACTCGGGAGGCAGAGGCAGGCAGTTCTCTGAGTTCGAGGCCAGCCTGGTCTACAGAGCGAGTTCCAGGACAGCCAGGGCTATACAGAAAAACCCTGTCTCAAACAACAACAAAACCAACAAAACCAACTGCCATCTGCCAGCACCAGAAGTAATTTATCAGCCACCAGCAAATGTACCAAATGTACCAAATGTATCAAAGGCATCTATCAGGAACACTCGACACAGGAGCGTCTCAATCACACTAGGTGAACCCCCTCACCCAAGACTATGAAAGGAGGACCCCAAGACTGAAATATGGTCGGCATACTGACCAGTCACCTGGTTACTCACCATGAGCCTCATCCAGGAAATTGTCACAGTGCAAAACTCGGTCTCTGTCCTTGGACACCAGTTTAAGCACAATTTCTCCTGCCCACGTCACCCAAGCTGCCTCAAACTGACCTTCCAAATGGCCTGTCACCTGGACCTGTCTTCTATGGCACTGAGCCCCATGAGCTGTACACCTGCAGCTTCCTGTCTGGCCCTCTGGAGACGTCTAATGGAGTCTGTGTCAGCTCTGTCTCCAGCTTCAGGTGAGCCAGGATGGACTCTGAAGCCACTTCACTCCCCTGTAACCTGGGTTGTGGGAGTCTGTGGGAGTCCAGCTCTGGGCTGCTCCCACCTTTTGAAGGGTTCTTAGGTAGAGGAGAGAGAATTTAAGAAATGATAGATAGAAAGAGAGACCTAGCAGATGAGAAGAAAGATAGAAACACAGGATAGCTTCGGGAGGGCCTGGGTCAATACCCAATGAAAGGACCAAGCAAACGCCATAACAGGCTGCTCAGTCTTCTCTCAGAGATGAGGCCTCAATTTCAGTTTCCTGAGACTTGAGCAAGCAGTTTCTGGGAGGGCCATGAACAAAAGACATAGTCCTTGCAGTAGCTCCCTTTCTGCATGTACTCTGAATGCTCAAGGTCCAGCCAGTTGTTTACTGTCTGGGACCTCTCACCAACTTAGAGCTACGTGCATGGATCAATGTGAATATGCTAGGCCAGCCAGCCTCCATGGCAGCTCAAGGACAAAGCCTGGGACTTGTCCAGGCCTGCCCAAAAATGATAATTGCAACCCCCAAGTAACCCTAGCCAGTTAAAAGTTACTAACATGCTTGCCACTCGCATAAACCAATCCTGAGTCTGTTCCTATGTGGTCTGTAGACCCCAAGCCCTACTTACTTTAAAAACCCTGCCCCATTGCTACTCGGGGTTTCTCCTGCTCTGCTGCTGCATCAGTCCTGAGTTAACAATATGAAGACTCTTTGCTTTTGCGTCAGATTCAGTCTCTTGATAGTCTTTGAGGGATTCTGGGTACAACACCCAACAGCCTTGTCTTTTATTGAAAAGGGCTTTTTATAACATGTCAAGGGGAGAGGCAAAATATCCCCCCCTTGCAAGATCAAAGCACACCATACAGCCAAATGTAGACCCTTCCAAACACCTGGTAACCACGCCCGTGGTCACATCTTCCCATTATGCAGCCCTGCTGGGTAAAGCAAGCTCAGATTCTCTGCCCTTGAGTAATTTGGGCCTCCACACTGTGTGGAATGTAATGTATTAATATCCGAACGACCGGGCCACTGGGGAGGAGGCGGAGCCAGGACTGTCAGGAGTCAGGACACCCTGGGCTACAGAGTGAGTTCCTGGCCAGCCTGAGACACAATGTGGGATCCTGCCTCAAAAAGGAAAGAAAGAAAGATTAGAATAAAAGAATGTATGATCACCCAAGGCCAGCTGTTCAGGAAAATGGGGATTAATTGGCAACGTGAAGCCAGCAAAACTGACTTAGCTTGTGAGTTTGTTGTCTATCAGGAATTTCTGACACCACAGAAAGCCATGGCTTGCTCACTTATGCTTCTGTTCTAACATACTGGAAATGCTCTGTTTGGACCATGTTGTGTCTATGGCTCAATATGAGACCTTTCCCAAATGGCTAACAAGTTACTCAATAGCAACAAAGGTTGTGTAAACACACACACACACAAATGTGTAGGATACAAGTGACCTATGGTACAGAGGCATGGAGTAAATAGTATCTCTCTCCTGCCCTGTCCACCAATCTCTCCCATACCTGTGGCCTCTTCCCAGATGCTGGGACTATTCCTCGTTTCTTCTATAATTTTTTAGAAGTGTTTATGCTGGGTAGTGGTGATGAATGCCTTTAATCCCGGCACTCAGGAGGCAGAGGCAGGTGGATCTCTGAGTTCAAGGCCAGCCCAATCTACAGAGCAAGTTCCAGACCAGCCAGGACTACACAGAGAAACCCTGTCTCAATAAAACAAATAAGCAAAACAACAACAAAAGAAGTATATGTACATATTCAGGACTAGGGAGCAGGCTCAGCAGGCTCTGAGGACCCAAGTTCAATCCCTGGAACACATAGAAGGAGAGAGCCAACTCCTGAAACTGCTTGTCCTATGACTTCTGCATACATCTTATCACACACACACACACACACACACACACACACACACACACACACACACACACAAATGAAAACTTTAAAGGACATGCATATATTCATTCACATGAGTGATAAATGCTTTCCCCTGAACAGAAATGTCTTTGGAGTTATTCCACACCAGGAGCACGGCCCTCCCTCCTCTCTCCACCCCCAGATTGGAGATTGAACCCAGAGCCATGCACACTAGGCAAGGGCTCTGCCGCTGAGCTGTCCGCCCCCAGCATCCCTTTAACATTTTGTTTTGAGACAGTGTCTTAATAAGTTGCCCTGGCTATCCTTGAACTTGACAGTCTCCTGCCTCAGTCTGTCAGGTAGCTGGGACTCCAGGCCTGCATCGCCCTGCCTGGCTGCCTTATTCTTTCTGTTGGTGCAGAACTGCACTGTAGGAATGTGCCATAAACAAGAAACAGCCCTGTGGATGGACCCTTAGTTGCTCCCCATATTTTGCTCTAATGATACCGCAATGAAGAGCTCCTGACACATGTGAGTTCTGTGGTGGCTAAAGAAACTTCCTTTTATGCTAAGCATCCATCTTGG